TATATATATATATATATAAGACATATTATTGGATTAGGTTCATTTGTGTACCTTTTTTTTTTTCAAGTTCAATAATGTAAGTATAATAAGAGCATATTCCAGCGTTTGTAATTAAGACTTGGATGTTGTAGGACATTTTTATTATTTCTTATGAAATAGTGTTTTAATGAATAACTGTATGCATGGTGTGGGGCTAGAGGGACAGAAAGTTAGACATACCTGTGTGCCGAATTCCTAACCCTTTGAAAATAAACTTTATTCTTTCGCTTCCTATTCCCCCTCCCCTCCTTCAATTTTTTTTTTTTTTTTTTTTTTTACGTAAAAACCACAAAAAAACTCTTCTTAACCCTATTTAAAACTAAAAGCAGTAATTGCTTGGTGGAGACCCCAGGGAGTAGTGGAAGAGCTGAAATCAGGCCCCTAGTTTCCATCTGTTGCTTTGTAATTAAATGAAAAACTACTGGATTGACACTGATTATGGTGACCCCCAGGACATCCACGCCACTTTTCTGCGAACTACCGTTTTTTGGTAGAAGCTTTTAACGTCTCTTCGGGCCAGGAATCGATTAATGGCTGCTAGAGGCGGATCGCTGATGTTTTGTGTAGGTTGGAGTTTTCATAGACGTCTGGCTATGAATAAAGGCAGAACGGTTTGCAATTGGTATATTACTGGGAAGTAAAGATCCCTTTTCACGCCTTTAGGCGCAAATGGCATATGGAAATAGCTCCCACATTTTTAAGACCAATCGGCACTGGGGGAGGGGGGGGGAGTGGTGTTGTCAGCATTACGCCGGCCATCTTTACTTCCCTAGGACATAATCCTGGTCCCCATTTTAACCTGGATCGACCTGCGACTCCCCACACCACGATAACATTCTACACAGTCAGCAGTGGGTTTCGACCGCCTTACTTTGTAATTGCGAGTAGGACTCGCAACGCCTAAATCACTGACACCGCTGATTGATTGGGTAGTCTTGTCTTATCCATTCTGAGTACATGGACATATAATGCTGGACTCACACTGTGCAGGGGATATGTGACGTCTTCAGCATCACACCGGCCGCCTTTACTTCTCATGACCTTACCTGGTGCCACTAAAGTCTGGGTCGACCTGGGAGCCAAGGTCACTTCTGAGAATAGTCTGGCTCAGTTCGGATTCGAACCGAAGACTTTTAGATCCGCAGAGGATCGTCTAGCCCAGTGGCTCCCAAACTTCATAATGCCGCAACCCTTTAATACAGTTCCCCATATTGTGGCGACCCCTAAACAATTAGTTTCCTTCACAGCGTCATTGAATATGTGTTTTCCGATAGTTTATATCGACCGTAAAAAGGGTTGCTACCGGCAGTTTGAAAACCGGATGCTAGGAAGAGGTAGAAATAGATGAATTATGTACAGCTGTCATACTCTATGCCATATAAATACATTCACATTCAGAAAATAATGTCCCACATTTATTTAGGTGAATAATAAAGATAGAATAATGAAATGTTACTCCTCAGGGTTGAAATACATGTGAAATTAGGTTAGTTGCGTATCCTGTACAGGACGTTGCAGAACCAACCCCAACAGCCCCTGATGTGTTTTTTCTAGGCAAATTTACGTCCAGTAGTTTGCCATTCCCCACTGGACGGTCGGCTTTCTTGATACCACTGTCGAAACCAACGCAAGGCGCATAGCCCGCAGCTGGGATCGAACCCGGCATCTCGGCATTACGAAGCGTTCGCGTCGACTTTAGAGCCGACACATGTGAAATACATATATAAAATCATACCTTATTTATGTTTTTTTTTTTTTTAAACATATACCAATAGCATCTATCCGTTCTTTATCTTAAAGTCCGTACCAGTGTTTGTAGTCATGTCTTGCCACAACCTTCTGGCCTGTGTACTTTCAGTCAGTTCTGACACAGATGATCTTCCATGTCACGATGTCAAACTGTCCAGCATCTTATCTCGCGGTCTCCCTCTGCCTCTCCTACCCTCTATCATTCATACTGTTATGAGGAATCCTTCTCATCACACGACCAAAGAATGTAGATTGTCTTTTTTTTTATGTGGGCAATCAATTATCTTCGTCAGACAGTTTCTTTCAAGACATCTTCATCTTCATTTGTAATCTTTCCAGGGTATTCTCATCATTCTTCTATAAAACCACATTTGAACTAATTACTTAAAGAGGTTTAAATGAAAAATGTGATTTACAAACAGATAATTATTATCCAGTGGTCTCTAGTTATGGCATCCGCCCTAAGTGCTGGAGGTCCGGGTTCAAACCCTGGTGTAATTTGGGATTTTTTAAAGTGGATGCTTAATAATTTTTTCTGGTCTCTGGATAGTAAGATCGGACGCTCGTGTGTATTCTTGTGCACATACAAAAAATCCATTGGCAGTTGGAAATCAAAAAAAAAAGAGTAGCCTAACGGATCTGCCCGGGCAAAATTTGGAGTTCAAAATCTACCGAACGTATTTCAGGATCCTCGCCGGTGCAACGGAGTTCGTGCACTTCCCTGAGATTCTCCAGACTTCGGCTTGAGTTGGAAGTAGAACGGAGCACTTACGGGTTACACCCGTGTGCATTGGTGTTGATCGAATAGTCGTTAGTCGAGGTTGCAACATCAGTGCAGACGGGTTCCTCCACACCTGCTTAGTTCCTGCACCAGTAAAAAAATTACACATTTCCCTCGCTGACCCACTTGAAAACTAGTGAAAGACTTGTCAGTCCCAGCAAAATCTTGAAACTAGCACATGCAAAGTAAAGATGCATAAGGCTGCTGTCAGATATGCCAACCTAACTCAAACACCAGCATTGTAGCTCAGTTTGAGTGCACACGGTCAATCACGAAAGTGGGCATTGCTTCCGCAGAAGTGCACTCCGTGGCTATTCACCATTCTGCTCCGGTAAACAAGACTTTGCGGGCTCAACAACAACAAAATAAAAATTTTATTTGAAATCAGCAGCTCACAATGCCGCACCAAATACTACATTCATTATGATAGACTGGCTGCCTATAAAGAAACTGGTAAATATTATAAACGTTTCTGTATATCTTGTCATGTAGGTTGTGCAGTCGATACGGGAGCATCGTCGATCGATGAGTTCACAGAGTTTAGACCTCATAAATTAGATGTATAGGTCTGAGGATGTTATTCATTCTGTGAAGAAATTATTACGTAAACAGCACAATACCTGACGTAGACAAGTTGTGCATGTAGGACCAGATTTAGACTTGTTGAAGCCCTAAAGTATATAAAACCCTGAGGCCCAACCGCTTTAAATTTCACTAGCGAATCTCAAAAACCATTAAAATATATACGGATTTTTAAACATAATGAAAGTTAATGAAAGGTGAAAGTTGACATATATGAAGCTGACACACACACACACACACACACACACATATATATATATATATATATATATATATATATATATATATATATATATATATATATATATATATATATATATAAAGAGAATGCATTGGAAGAAACTGACTCACGAAGAGAACTGTTTGCCCACATCAGAAAGAGACCATCTACATTTTTTGGGGTCATTTCTTGAGAAGGAAAATACTGGAGTATATCGTGGCAGTAGGAACGTTGGAGGGGAGAAGAGGCAGAGAAAGATCGAGAGAACAGACGCTGGGCAATCTGACAAATTGACAAGGGGTTGACTAGTGGGGGGGGGGGGTCATCTGTGTCAGAGTGATTAAAAGTACACGAGACAGAAGGTTGTGGATGGACATGTCTACTATGCCACAGGGCGTAGATTTTAAGATGAAGTTGATCTGTGTGTATGTATATATATATATATATATATATATATATATATATATATATATATATATATATATATATATATATATATATATAATTTAAATGGGCTACGAGTTTCGATACATGCCTTAGATAATAGACCAAAAATAATGGTAATAGCACTAGGAAACTTCAGAAGGGAAAATTTTTTAATAAAAAAAATTAGTTGAAAAAGAATTGTATTTGTGAGGAAAAAAATAATTTTTTTTCGATACCCATACAAATCAAGTCTCCGTCTCCACAGACGGTCATGTTTCAGACAAGCCTGTCTCTGTCTGCACAGACGGTCTTGTCTAAATTAACTTTGTCTCCGTCTCCACAGACGATCTAGTCTAAATCAAGGCTGTCTCCGTCTCCACAGACCGTCTTGTCTAAATTAAGGCTGTCTCCGTCTCCACAGACCGTCTTGTCTAAATCAAGGCTGTCTCCGTCTCCACAGACCGTTTTGTCTAAATTAAGGCTGTCTCCGTCTCCACAGACCGTCTTGTCTAAATCAAGGCTGTCTCCGTCTCCACAGACCGTTTTGTCTAAATTAAGGCTGTCTCCGTCTACTCAGAAGGTCCAGCATAAATCCAACATAGCTGGCATGCTTGTTTGTGTGTGTGTGTGTGTGTGTGTGTGTGTGTGTGTGTGTGTGTGTGTGTGTGTGTAGAAGTGGGCAGAGTTTTGCCGAAAATTAGAATGTGCAAAGGGCACAGTGAGTGTTATTTTGTCGGTGAATGACATACCCCATCAGTAGATTCAACAGAAAGCAACATACAACAATTTTCCGTTTACGAACAGGACACTGCAAACTCAACTACCACAGGCATAAAATAAAGACTGTACAGTCCCCACAGTGTGCCCGCCTGAATGGACCACAAATATACTGAGCACATTCTGCAGACTTACCCACTCTATATACAACTTCAAAAAGGCACCTGGTCTCAAGAGAAAAAAAGTGTGCGGAACAAGCTATGGGGAACCGTGAAGGACCTGCTGCTGACATGCGAGTTCATAGAGGCAAACAACCTGATGGTTTGATCTGAGCATACGAAACTGAACGCCAAGAAGAAGAAGTACAAACAGTTTGGTAGTAAAACTATAAACCCATCGTATTTTTGTACATTGATTACCTTACTGAAATTTTTTGTTTTGTTTTGTTTTCGTTTCAGTTGATGTCTGAATTATTCCCTTAAAGAAATGGGACAAAGTAAGTCATTTTATATCCCTCTTCCTATTGATTGATTGATTGATTGATTGATTGATTGATTGATTGATTGATTGATTGATTGATTGATTGATTGATTGATTGGCACCTTTCGGTCTTTCCAGGCGATAGTGTTTTTTTTTTTTTTTTGTGTGCGCTATGAGGAGGCATGAGACTCACAGCCCATGACAATGGTCAGTGTGACTAGCAAGACCCGCCCGTGTCAAGAAAAGTCTTCCACGATGATAGCATGGGATTTCAGCACCATTGTTGTCAACATTTGTGTTTAATCCTTTTCTTTTCAGACGCTCAGCTCTCATCCTTTCTGCAATCATTTCTTCCTTCAGTCTCATTCCCTTCTCGATACGCCCTTTCGACAACAACACAGTCCATGGCATTTTGTTCCCATGAGTCCACCTCAATACTTGTATCATTCATGTCCCACATCTTTATACCGTAGTACAGGTCGGCCTCGACATCTTCTTCCTGTCTTTAGCTCATCAGAAAGGATGTCCTTAGAGACTCTGCCATCCTCCATTCACCAGGTGTGACCCAGCCACCTAAGCCTTCATAGACTAAGCATGGAAAAGACTGTTGTAGTACCTGCTCTTTCCAGTAGCTCAGTGTTTGTGATTGTGTCCTGCCACTTAATGCCAAGTATTCTTCTTAGGCATCGCATGTGAAAGCTATTAGGCCGTCTCTCCTGGTGCTAATAGGCTGATCACGTTTCACTGCCATAAAGCAGAATGCTGAGAACACAAGTCTGATAGACAAGGGTTTTTGTTTTAATTGTGCGCTTTCTGTTCTCTCAAACTCTCTTTGTCATTCTGCTCATTGTTGTTGCTGCCTTAACTATCCTGATGTTGATTTCTTGGTCCTCAATATGCTTAAATTAGGAGGGAAACAAACGTTTTTCAAAAAGAGGTCTTTCTGATGAAGTAAGTGGTCAAGCAGTCTGCTCGGTCCTTGAAGATTTTGGGTTAGTTTCACGAATTGTGTCGTCTAAAGATCGTCGCTGTAGCTATGGTTTACGTGCTATATGCGAGGCTCTCGGCAGTCTGTTAGCGTTCTGCAGACAGAGACCAGGTCAAGAATGATAATACCCGCCGTAGTGGTGTCGATCTCGATTTTAACTTACACTTATTAAGGGGTTTGAATAGGTGTGCCAGATGTACTTCTTTGTCCAGTACTTTGCGGGCTGTTTGAGCGGATGTGTCTGTCCACCTATTGTGATTTCTTATACAGGAGAGGTACACTCATAAAAACTATAGTCTACAACACATGGGAACATCGGATCTACCATCTTAACTAGTCTACACAGAAGATATACACTCATAACTATAGTCTACAACATACCACTAGATCTACACTCCTACCTACGGCATACAATATATCAGTAGATCTACACTTATGACTATAGTCTACAATATACCACTAGATCTAAACTTATAACTATAGTCTACAACACACGAGAACGTCAGGTCTACCCTCGCAACAAGTCTGCAAAACTAGATCTACTCGCATACCTATAATCTTCAATATACCACACTACCTATACGTATAACTATAGTCTACAGCATACCGCTAGATCTACACTGCTCATTCTAGTCTTCAGGAAGCTAGACCAAATATCTACACTCATAAACTAGTCTGCAACACAGAGATAATTCCTAAACACATAAATATAGTGTAAACACACCAGACCACCACAGCTACCCTCATAACTTGTTTGCAACACACTAGACCACTAGATCTATACTCGTAACTATAGACTTCAACAAACTAGAGCATAATATCTAGACTCATAACTTTAGTCCATAACACACAAAACCTTCAATTCCAGACTCATAACTTTAGTCTATAACACACGAAACCACATATCCAGACTAATAACTATAGGCTACAAGACACGACACCAATATATCTAAACACATACCTATAGTCTAGAACAAACGAAACCACCATATCTAAATGTATAACTATAGTCTACAACACACAAAACTACCATATCTAAACTCATAACTATAGTCTACAACACACAAAACCACCATATCTAAACTCATAACTATAGTCTACAACACACAAAACCACCATATCTAAACTCATAACTATAGTCTACAACACACAAAACCACCATATCTAAACTCATAACTATAGTCTACAACACACAAAACCACCATATCTAAACTCATAACTATAGTCTACAACACACAAAACCACCATATCTAAACTCATAATTATAGTCTACATCAAACGAAACCACCATATCGAAACTAGTAACTAAAATCTATAAACGGGATTTTGCAGTAAATGTTCTCCTTATAATGCAAGTCGTCGAAATGCCGCCCCTTTAATGTTCAAATTCGATTTCGATTTCGCTGCTTATGCCGCCCTCTTACGGCTCCACCTAATGAGGCCGCATGTCTGTATCATAGCAAGGCACTGCCCTGTTGTAGTCTATAGCACCATATACATAGTTTTATAATTCTGACATTCACCTTGTGGTATTTTGGGCCCCAGTTTAGGAAAGTACGAACAACATATCTATTGCCCACTAACAAGGGTGTAAAAAAAGTGCGACTAATTTTTACTTTACTGAAATCGATTGTCTTGGGCCGTGAGGTGCAGATATCATAGTCGAGCTGTTAAAAACACAGCGTGCCAACCAACTGCTCTTTTATGAGCACACTCAGAAGTAGTAGAAGAAGAAGAAGATGATGATATCTTCTTCTTCTTTTCATTCACCAGCTGTAAAACTCCAGCAGAAATTTCTGGTTATTTGGCCACTTCTAACGTTGGAATCGTTTGCTGAGCTTAGGTTTTCCGTGCCTAGCCATTCTACAGATCTCGCTTATTTGTATGCAATCTGTTGGTTTCTCGCTTTTCAGGCAGATGCACTCCAGCTGAGAAGGCAACCTTAATATGTCGCCTTTTACGACATGTTTGTTAAGGGGCAGTGGTTCTGTTCTATTTATTCCAACTCAGAACTTACCCGGGGATGGTGATATTATTGTGGTGATGGTGGTGATGATGATGATGATGATGATGACGGTGGTGGTGATGTGATGATGATGGGGATGATAATGATGATGATGATGATGATGGTGGTGGTGATGATGATGATGGTGGTTGTGATGATGATGGTGGTGATGATTATGATGATGGTGATGATGATGATGATGATGGTGATGATGATGATGATGGATGATGATGATGGTGATGATGATAGTGATATTATGGTGGTGATGATGATGATGATGATAATATGGTGGTGATGGTTATGATGATGATGGTGATGATGATGATAATGATGTTGGCGGTGGTGATGATGATGATGATGATGATGGCTATGATGATGATGATAGTGATGATGATGGGGATGATGATGGGGATGATGATGATGATGGTGATGATGATGGTGATCGGACATTATGCCTTCCAGATTCGTCCAAAAGGCGACAGCGAGCGTCTGGAAAAAGCAAAACCGGAAATGCCGATACACGAGCACACGGGAAATGTGAAGACGTAAATGGAAGCATTGAAGTCAACCAAGACAAGGATGTGAGCGACATTTCTGCAAGTGGAAGACACAGCCATCCGGCCTCACCAACATCCGTGACATCAGCGTCACCGCCAAAAACGCCAGGTAATGTGTTTATTATAAGGATTATGTTTTAATTCTTTTAATCTCCATGGCTGAATGTTGAATTAGGAATGTTGAATTAGGAATCTACATCACCGCACTCAAAACACTCCCATAAGTACCCCGTCCGTATCTTCAGCAGCAAGCGAAGAGTTCCAATTCCGATGGCACCAGTAACTGTCTGGTTGTATATCCGTCTCATCTTTCCCCTGAGTGTTAAGCGTTGGCAAGATTCCCTGGTCACCCCTCGCAGCGCCATTTTCCTCAGACCGTAATGATCTATCTGCGCCTCAGCACTGTTCACTCGTTCCCAAAGACCCTTAAAATATCTAGCTTGTCATACAACAATTCACCACCAATTGGTGCAGCGCCGTCCAGTCAATCTGCCTGCTCATTTTCCAACACACTGGCATCCTATTTAGAAAATATTCAAAGGATGCTTATTACTATGAATTGTGTACTTCTTAATGGTTTCAAAGTAGAAGCTCAATTTGTGCAATAATCACAGTGAAAAGAACCTTTGACCCAAGACTCACATGGAGAAAACAGATAGAAAAGACACAGAGCAAGGGACTCAAGAGAACACAACTGATGAGGAAGTTAGCTGGAACAGACTGGGGGGCAAACCTCAATGTCCTTAAGAGGACCTATACAGGCTATGTGAGGCCAACACTAGAATATGGAATAGCTGCTTGGGGCACACCAGCTAAATCAAATTTTCAGAAAGTCTCAAAGATCCAAAACCATGCTCTCCGTATTATGACAGGGGCAATGCGCTCCACGCCCACATCAGATATGGAAACAATTACTGGTCTCCATAATCTGGAAGATAGGAGAGACACAAAGCTCCTCACCCAGCTCTCCAAATACCACCACTTTCAAGAGCAACCCATGTACAGCCGACTGCAGAAACCCCAGAAGTCTAGACTAAAGAGAACCTGTTTTATTAAGAACGCAAATGCCAAGCTCGCCGTCCTTAAACTCCCTCCCATAATACCAAATGTTCCACTTGAACCTTACAACGACTGCCCTTTTTGGCTTAGGGATAGCCTACCAACAGTCAGAACAACTGTAACAGGGGTCTCCTCCAAATCATCAATGAGCAGCACTGATATGAAATCAACTACAGAAGGAGAGATCAATAGACTTTATCCACACCAGAGTTGGATTCAAGTGTATACAGATGGTTCAGCCAAGAGAGCAGTAAGAGATGGAGGAGAAGGAATATACATAGAATGCCCAAATGGTGAAAAAATCAACCAGGCTGTACCAACAGGTTTATATTCCTCCAATTACAGAACAGAGGCAGAAGCACTTCTAGCGGCATGTTCTTTCCTGAATAAACTACAGCACAGCAAATGTAGCAGATTGGTCTTTCTGACTGATGCTATGTCAGTTCTACAAGCAATTGTTAACCGAAAAGACACTCAGTTTGTAGACTTGACGCAACAGCTGATACTTAGGCTCTTCAGTAGAACAATCTTTACTGCAGTGAATTCCAGGTCACTGTGGCTTGGAAGGCAATGAAATAGCGGACAGATTGGCCAGAAGCGGCAGTGACATGGTACAACCAAATAGCGACTTAACCCACCAAGAGATGAAAACACTAATACAATCTAGTATCCAAGAAAGGTGGCTGGATACCCACACCAGATTTTTTCCCCAAGACTCACTTCATCGCCTCTCTAGAGAGGGACAGTGTATTATATTCAGACTAAGGACAGGGCACAACAGATTTTGTCAACATATGTTCACATTTTTCGGTGTAGGAAATACGGAGATGTGTCCCTGCAGCGTGGCACCCGAAAATGCTGAGCATGTGCTCCAACATTGTCAACTGTATGCTGACAACAGAGACGCAATCTGGCCTGTTCCAACCACACTGAAGACAAAACTGTATGGTACACGAGAGGATATGGATTGCACGATAGCTTTCATAAAGGCTACCGGCCTCCTGGTATAAGTTTTCTGACAGAAGGATCGAAGAAGAAGACAGTGAAAAGAGCATCTGTGAATGACTTTCCATGATACAGAATATTCTATGCCGCATTTAGAATAATTGGCTAAGATTTCTTTTGCATACCTATAAAAATCTTAAGAATTTTTTGGAAGCTGCAAAGATGTTTTGAAAAGTAATTATGAGAATATCCTGGTCAGATAAAAGAGTAAATGGGATGTTTGTGGAAGAAAAAAAAAACCTTAATCACGGAGAGAGTTAATTTCCCACATCATAAAGATACAATCTACATTCTTTGATCATGTGATGAGAAGGAGAAAACTGGAGTACATCGTGACAGTAGGAAAGCTGGAGGGGAGGTGAGGCAGAGGGAGACAGAGAAAATACATCGACTGGTATCAGGGTACCTAAGTACATAAAAGTATCAACTTGCATAAGAACTGTCCTATTTACCTTGATGCTGCATTGTCGAACCTTCATCTTGTTTGTGATTACCACGGTAGTCACAGAAACAAAATGCGAGAATGAAAAAACAAAAACAAAAACTTGGCCGTGGTCGCTAGGTCTTAGGCTCGATTCAACATTAAGACGTATTTTGTATAATGTATCAATGATTCTTAGCTCGACCCTCAGGCTGAAGTTGGTATTCGGAAACGTCGTAAGAAGTAAATGTGGCCGGACTGGTGTAAGCCACATCGTCCACCGAGTGTCGATTGTCTACAAACAAAACTAAAAATCTAGAAATACATGTCTTAAGATGCACAAGCTTGAAAAGCGTCGTTTACTTTCTGCAACAACAAAAACAAAATAAGGCAACAACCAAGCCCTCAACCACGACGGACTGGCCTCCAATTAGTTCAGTCTGATTATTAGACTTAAACATCTGATTTTAGTCCCTCTTTCTATTTCAGAATACTTTGTCTATTCTGTTTATGTTTTGGTTTGCTAAATTAGACGTCTGCTTTTCTACTTCCGTGTAATTCAATGCACCCTATTTACTGGACTGAACTTCACAGGAAAATGTGGGGGTATTACACCAGTAAATACAGTAATTTGTTTAAGCAAATGGATTTCGTTTATACATCTCACATAAATCTTATGTTATTACCACTAAGGTCACTGCATATAAAGCGTACTCATTGTTAACTCTTTCAGTCCTAGGCAGATCTACTTTAACCGGATCTGGGTATCAAGTAGGGGTTTTAAATTATACAATTCTTGGGTTGAAAGAGCTACTAAATACCAACATCATATAACAATATTAGGGTGCTCCTTGATCATCCAGTCATGGAAGCTAGAGCAGTGATCTGCCCAGCACATGCGTATCTGCATATCAGTGCTGATACATACCATCCATTGCACAGTGAGTTGTGCAGGGAGAAGGGTAGCAGGTTAAGGAGAGGAAAATCCGGGGTGGATCAGGCTGAGGACATTGTTCAACTAGTTCTTTTTTTTTTTTTTTTTTCAACCGATGACATAGAAAATTAGTAACCATGGAAATGAGATGTCTGAGAAGGGCTGTAGGAGTGACCTTAAGAGATAAGATCAGGAATGAGATCATAAGAGAAAAAGTCGGCCCAGAACCAATTCTAAATTACATACAAAGACAGCAAGTGAAATGGTTTGCCCACTTAGAGAGAATGCCTTGTGACACCATACCATACAAAGCATACATGGAAGGAGAAGAAGGACGTAGAGCAAGAGGTAGACCAAGAACCAGATGGAAGGATAACATCAGAGAAGCTCTACAACAGCACGATGTGCCTATGGCCGAGGCGGACAGAAGAGCCAGAAACAGAACCTTATATCTCCCTCGACACCCACAGCATTAAAAGAGGAAGCCAAGAAGAAGAAGAAGAAGAAGAAGAAGAAGAAGAAGAAGAAGAAGAAGAAGAAGAAGAAGAAGAAGAAGAAGAAGAAGAAGAAGAAGAAGAAGAAGAAGAAGATGATGATGATGATGATGATGACATAGAACCAAGGGGAAAATGGGTACAAGTGCCAGAAGAGTGCGGTACATCCTTTCCAGTCTGCATAAAGACTGGTTAGGGATACAAACAAGGGCCATACTTCAAATAACGGTCATAAATTATCAAGGCAGAAAATATACCCTAACAGGGCCTCAGTCACGTGACAGTTGCGCACTTCCGGGGACTATAACGCCATCGCCGAATTGCGAACTCCTGGCGACTTCCGCCACTGCTCTCGCGGCGTGGATTGGGGCTAAACTAGATGGCTAGGACTCACGAGCAAATAAAATGAACGAAGCTACAGGAGATGCGGTAGCTCCTGCTCGTCAGTCCCAGCCATCTAGTTTAGCCCCAATCTACGCCATGTGAGCGGCGTGGGGGATACGCTCGGCGGTGGCGAAAGTAGCTGGAAGTGCCCAATTTAAGACCACGTCGGTGCACAGTTGACACGTGACTGAGGCCCTGTTAGGGTATATTTTCGGCCTGGATAGTTTAGGACCGTTATTTGGAGGGTAGCCGAAAAAAGGCCCGTTGGTGGTTAAGGCAGAAGTTCAAGCCTTGATTCTTGAAAATTTAGCTGACAGAGGCGCAGTTTATCTACGCTGACAGATCTATCGTTCGACACGTACAGAGTTCAATGGCTTTCGCGGTTCTCGTTTGAAAACCTGTAAAAGAAGATAGAAGGTTTTTTTGCATCGTCTACAAGTAGCCTATAGAGGTGATGGTGGTAAGAAAAGCAATGATGTGGCTAGAGACATCTACATGATTCCTTGAGCAGGCTTAACAAGATAGAGACTCGATGTGTTTGAAGAAAATGGTTAGAGTCACTGAGGAAATCTCGTCTGACAGGAATTAGTCTCATTTTTGCGCCAGGATATTCTAGGGTAAGAGGGAATGAATGAATGGACTGGCTTGCTGGCAGAGCACGGTAGGCTCGGGAAAAGCAATGTAAAGTCCCTGTCTGTCAACAGCTCGTGGGATGACCTTCAAATACAGTTTCCCCCCCCCCCCTTCTGTGTGGGTTCCAGGGTCCTTAGTTAGTTAGTTAGTTAGTTAGTTAGTTAGTTAGTTAGTTAGTTAGTTAGTTAGTTAGTTAGTTAGTTAGTTAGTTAGTTAGTTAGTTAGTTAGTTAGTTAGTTGGGTTATCCTCATTGCACTCCGGACATGTCCATAGGTGCTCAGATCCTCCCCTCAGTATGAACCCCAACGTCCGATGGCTAATAGTACCAGTTCTATGTTGATTAACAAGTCTTCTGGCGTGTCTGGTGTGCGTCTCGTTTTTTGCTGTACCGATCTTAATTCCCAAGTCTGCCATTCTGGCGAGTGATGTGGATTCACTGCCACCAAAGTCCTCTATCCTTCCCATTTCTCTAAGGGCATTGATAATATCAGCATGATCCATAGGCTGACCGTCGGTAGTGATAGCGGATTCAGCCAACCTGTCAGCTCTTTCATTTCCATCGACGCGTGCGTCTCCCGGAACAAAAATAAAGGTGACTCCACGCACAGTGGACTTCTGTAATGATTCAAGCCGTTGTCTTCGCACTGAACCTGCCTGAACCCCCGGATCATACTCATTGAATCACTGAGTATACACACGCGGGTGTATTTTTGTGTTTCAAGCCAGGCAAGCGCTTGCGTCACTGCCATCACCTCCATCGTCATGCTGCTGGTGGTCATGGAGAAGGCGCCGTTGGCTTCTTTGACTGTTCTGCCCGCTGAGCGTGCTGTAAATTCCCATGCGCTTCTTCTTTGGCGTATAACGGATCCGTCTGTATATATTATTGCATCTGCTTCGTCTGAATTTTCACCGATGAGAGCGTTGACCTCTGCATTAACAGCAACAGGATTATCTTCTCTACATCGCATGTAGAGTGTGACAATACAGGAAAATGTACAATTAAACGCCTGAGGCACAGGTATCCATTCTGCACCAGGTATGATGTCGGTTAGGCTGCATATTTGCCTAATAACATCTTCTGCCCGACCTAGCCACGATTTTCTCCTCTTCAGTCTGTCGCCCTTTTCACTTCAGGGTCCTATTATAGGGAAAACAAGAAAAGACCCACTGTCTACCCAAAAGCATGTCGTAAGAGTCGACTAATTGGGAGCTTCCTTCTAAGTCGGAGTGCGTCTGCCTGAGAGGCAAGGAACCAATAGTCTGCACACAAATGCGTCAGATCTGTCAAACGGATGCACACGCAACACTCAGGTTCTGGAACAGGACTGCAGTCCAGAAGTAGACAAACAGAACTTTCCACCAGAGTTTACAGCTGGTGAACGCAAAGAAGAAGAATAAATACAGTCCGTGTTAATCAAATGAGACCAGTTTATATTTATTTATATGAATTTTTAAGCAGGCTAATGCTTAAAAGTAAACCCTTTGGAGTGATTGCTAGTATACTAGCTACTCGAGACTTTGGGCCGAGTTTAATTCTTGGTCGTGGCAGCCTCTCCCCCCCCCCTCCCCCCATCTTCTTTTCACCACTCTCCCCATAAATTCTACATGCGATCAACCTAGCTTCTTAAAATGTTAATGAACTGGATGGTAAGTCAATATAATAAGGGAATTTATTTGAAATCCGTTCCCTTGACTAAATTAAAATTACAAAACCGTGAAAGAAAAAAAAAAAAATACGTGGGGCAGAATTTAAAAAAAATTATTTTGAATTTAATTACGGACCATGGGTATGGAAGAAAAAGAGTCACCCTAAGCATTTAGGCAGCCGTCACAAGTGCTTTCTTTGGCGACGAGTGCTCACTAAACCAAGTTAGTTAGTTAGTTAGTTAGTTAGTTAGTTAGTTAGTTAGTTAGTTAGTTAGTTAGTTAGTTAGTTAGTTAGTTAGTTAGTTAGTTAGTTAGTTAGTTAGTTAGTTAGTTAGTTAGTTAGTTAGTTAGTTAGTTAGTTAGTTAGTTAGTTGCGTATCCTTTACAGGACGTTGCAGAACCAACCCCAACAGCCTCTGGCTGTTGTGTGGTTTTTCTAGGCAAATTTACATCCAGTAGTGTGACTAAACTATGTGTACTATAATAATATGATTTTGTTTCAATGAATCCTTCAAAAGAAAACTATTATACATGATGATGGGGGCAGTTTAGCAAATTCAACAATCAATCAATTAGGTGCCGTCTCCACGGGGAAGGTTGTCTGCAATGGGTCTCTAGCATGTCCTGTCAAGTGCCTTATCTGTTGTCCTGGTTGTACATTCTCTCAGACTGCTGCCCTTCCATCGCTTTATACTGGGCTCCCACTTGTATCGTTGACCATCTCTTACTCTCTTGCCTTCGACCTTTCCCTCCAGTATGGATTAGCAAATTAACTAATTCAGAAAAGGACGGGGGTGGCTAAAAGTGCCTAGAGCAGATACGTAAAGGAGCTCCTAATGTATATAGCGGGTAAAAATTGGCATTTATATCAAATTGTCTCTCTTGAACGCAGGCGAAAAAAAAACAAGAAGAGGAATTGTCTCTTCCTTTCGCTAAAATGACACAAGCAATGTTCAGTCCGTTAATGAGTTTTATCGATTTAATGCTACATATTAATTTCAATTTCGACAGAGAAAAAGGAAAAACGGAAAAGGTTTCGAGTCGGATTTTCTCTAAAACGTACTCCTTCTGGTCGATGGAGCAGAAAGAAGAAGACGACCGCTCAGAACGGAATCAGACCAGTTTCCTGCACGGATTCCTTTAAAGAGGATCAAGACCTAAATCCAGGCCGACCACAAAGTGGGTGATTGATTCATTTCGTTTTTGATTATATTATTTCTCTTGTCAGCTTGATAATTTTGGTTTCTTTTTATTTTCAGGGCGGATGTGCCGTCATTTAGCAAATATAAATTTTAAATGTTATTTTAATCAAGCACACGGCATAGCATGAGAATTAGAACACTCGTGTTTCCATACTCACTATGAGCTGTTTTCTTTAAATGTTTTTTTTTTTTTTTTGTCTGAAGGATGAGGAAAAGGGAACATGCCAAGCAGCAACAGCAGAAGAAGAAGAAGAAGAAGAAGAAGAAGAAGAAGAAGAAGAAGAAGAAGAAGAAGAAGAAGAAGAAGAAGAAGAAGAAGAAGAAGAAGAAGAAGAAGAAGAAGAAGAAGAAGAAGAAGAAGAAGAAGAAGAAGAAGAAGAAGAGGAAGAAGAAGAACTCAAAGGAACAAGAAGAAAAAGAAGAAGAAAAACTTAAAGGAAGAAGAAGAAAAAGAAGGAGAAGAGGACGAACTCAAAGAGAGAAAAAGAAAAAGAGGAAGAAGAAGCAGAAGAAGAACTCAAAGGAAGAAAAAGAAGAAGAAGACGAAGAAGAAGAAGAAAAAGAAGAAGAAGAAGAAGAAGAAGAAGAAGAAGAAGAAGAAGAAGAAGAAGAAGAAGAAGAAGAAGAAGAAGAAGAAGAAGAAGAAGAAGAAGAAGAAGAAGAAGAAGAAGAAGAAGAAGAAGAAGAAGAAGAAGAAGAAGAAGAAGAAGAAGAAGAAGAAGAAGAAGATAAAATGTAACATCTGCCAGGAGGAAACACAGGCACAGTCCTAAAAGGTTATATAATGAGACATAGTGTCAAGGGCTATAGAGAGCAACTGCACACGTTATCTACGACAGTGAGATTACAAGCTGGAAAAAAAATAGTAGCACGAAATTTTGCTTTGCGGACATAAATACAAGACACAATTGACCGTCCTGTTTGAAATAATATGTTATAATTTATGTTATTTATAGCCAGCCTACTTCAGGAGCATTTGAATGCACGGAATCCTTCTAACTAAAATACAGAATCAGCTACACTTTATGTAACTGCATGTCTTTCTGTCTGCACAAACTTGGTTTTGCGGGACCAGGATACATTGTTTTTATTCACATTCGTCATTGTTTTAATTTAATACTGAAGTCCTAGGTGCTGGAACAAAAAAATCCCCCCCCCCCCCCCCCCCCCCCCCCCCCCGGTAATTTTGTAAGGGGTCTTGAGAGTCGGTTTCAGGGGTAGACTGGAGGTCATTTGAATATGTATGACCGGACACAGGGCTGTTCGGAGTGAGTGGTGATCGGCCAGGTGAAACTTGCAGAGTAATTGGCAAGCCGATATATCGTGGCCAGAAGGCTGTCACGGTAGAAAATATTGACCTGTTCCCTTTTCCCCGGCCCTTCTACTCACTTTCTCAGTCTGATCTAGGTCAGAGGGGTGTCAAGTTGTACTGCTTTCTTTGAAACGTCTCTCTCATGTGACATAGGTTGAGGCTGTGGGTAGGGGGTTTGGGTTAGGGCCAGTTCTTCATGTTCTGGGGTCATTGAAAGCTGTGTCGTCATGTAGTATAGAACTCACCACATCGGCGCTGATGTAACTGAAGGGAAGACAACGTGACACCCTTCGGACACAGAAGAGTCTCAGAAAGTATTAATGAAAGGTCAGGTAGTGCGTAGATGGGCCGAGAAACGTGAACAGGACAGAATAGAAATAAACTCACAGGGAGCAAGTACAGCAGGGATCTACCAGTCGTCAGTAGAAATTATCCTCGTCGACACGCGTTTCGGCCCACGATTTCTAGACGCATTCGGAGGTGGGCCTTCCTGAGTTCATGAAGCTCAGGGCTGGTTCCCTGCTGCACGGGATTACCGGATGGTGTTTTACTTTCGGCCAGAGGCAAGACGACTTGGTGGTTTCGCAGAAGGTACTGTGAGATAAGAAGTCGCCACGGCAGCCTAATTAAAGCAGTCAGCATGCCTGGACGACCGAGCGACAAGCTTACGTTTGGTTTACCGGACACATGTTGGACTTTTGTTAGCAGGTGGCAGAGGAACACTGGCAGACAATTCGGACACGATGGACTTTCAAGGGGTGAGAAACCCTTTTCCACTAGACACCCGGACCAGCTCACCGAGGCCCGTCCCCTACGTTGTTGCGTTGCGTCCAAAGCCAGCTAGAGGCCCTTTCGGCTACCTCTCCCAGTTTTTTTTTTTTTTTTATGGTTCGTTTCCGTTCATTACCGCGCAATCCTAGTTCTTTCACCACATTGTAGAGCGAAGTGGAAACGAGGCCTCTCGCTCCCACTTCGACGGCAAACACCCGTACTGTGTACGCCTCGTTTCTCCTCAGACCGGCTGCTAATTCACTGTACTTTTAGAGCTTGTACAAATGATTCTCCTCCATAGGCGACTCAAACGGGAAAGTCAACTCAATCAGGATGAGCTGCCGTTTGTGCGCAGAATGGAGAACGATGTCCGGTTGCAGGCCGGTCTTACGAATCAACTCGGGGTACCGTTCATGGCCCGGCAGATCAACCGCAAGTAACCAGTCCCTCGCAGAGTCTAGCACAGATGGAGCGAATGCGTTTTGGTTGACCTTACCTTTTGGAACCTGCCCAGCCTTGAGGAAACGAATGGGGACGATGCTAGAACTGGCTCTGGCGTTAGCCCTCATTCTAGCCTGGTCGACAATGGCTGCTAACTCTTTTAGCACCTTGTTGTGTCGCCAGGTGTATCGGCCTTGACCTAGGGCTTTCCTGCACGCGGACAGGACGTGCTCAAGAGTTTGCTTCGATTTACACAGCGGGCAAGTCGGATCGTTGGTCGCAGACCATTTAACCATGTTAACACCGGACGGTAATACATCGTACGCCGAACGAACGATAAAGCTCAGTCGCAGCGGGGTCATCCGCCAGATCTCACCCCATGTGAGTATTCTTGGCAATGCGCTCTCCACGCTGACCGAATGGCCCTGCTGCGACTGCTGGGCTGCTTTCTGGACCCGAACCTCGTTTTCGTTGTCCCTCACCGTTTGTATCACCATGTCTCGGCGCTCTTTGGCTGAGGCCTTTGACCACCAATTTACTTTCCCGTGCCCTAGGCCTCGACGGTCGGTTTGTGTGTATCCCATAATTTCTTTCAATTTTAGTGCATTCTGGGCAGATTCTATCGCATCGAGGACCCTCCACTTCTGACCAGTCTTTAGAGCGGGCTGGACAGCGATGACATTTGGGTCTGAAGACTCGCGTAAGAGCATGGCGAGCCTTACCTTGCCGACTTTAAACTCTTCGGTTATTGATTTGAACGGAAGTACCAGCTTAGCCTGTTTGCAATACAGAGCCACGTCGGTCAGACAAGGCGGTGCACCAATCCACTTTCTCAAGGCTGTGTTGATTTTCTTCTCCATGGTTTCCACTGCAGTCATCGTCACCTCGTAGACTAACAGTGGCCATAGGAGCTTTGGAATCAACATGAATTGGAGACACCATACCTTGAATTTTCCGACCAGCCTGCATCGCTCGATCGCGAGCAGGCCTGTAGCCAGTGACTCGTGTATTCGCCGGACCTCCGCTCTATCAGATAACTTCGAATCGTAAACGCGACCGAGACTCTTCACCGGTTCCTCCAGAACCGTGGGGATCTTGTTCCTTGCCACCGTAAAACTGATTGCCGACACCTTGCCCTTATGGATTGACAGACTCCTCGATTTCTGCGGTTTGAACTGCATACCGCTCCATTGGACCACCGCGTCCAATCTTTTCAGGATCGTGCGGGCAGACTCCTCGCTGCCCGTTATTATAGTCGTGTCATCCATAAATGAGCGTAGTGGCGGCAACCAGTGATCCCCTATTTGAAGGCCCAGTCCGTAGCCGGCCGCCCCGTCTAACATGATCTGCATTGCCATGACAAACAGTATGGGTGAGATCGTACAGCCCATAGCTATCCCAATCTGCAACTCAGTCCACCTCGTGGTAAACGTCGAGGTAGAGAAGCGCAAAGCGAACTTAGAGAAATATTGCTCGATCATTTGATTGATCTGTGTCGGTACATGCGAAGGGCTCGCCACAGTAGCCTATGGGTGACTGCACCGTAGGCGTTGGCTAAGTCCAACCATATAACGTGCAAATCGGTTCTCTCATGCTTGGCTCTCTGGATAGCCTCCCAAATCATGGTCGCGTGTTCAAGGCACCCAGGAACGCCTGGAATACCACCCTTCTGAACACTCGTATCTATGTACTTGTTAGTCATCAGATACTGTGTGAGCCGGCGAGCCATGACTGAGAAGAATATCTTACCCTCGACATTCAACAGCGAGATGGGCCTGAATTGGGAAAGACTCTTCGAGTCCTGCTCTTTGGGAATGTAGACCCCATTTGCCTTTGACCACTCTGGACATATGTGGTTGCGGATCCACGCTTGTCTCAACAAGACGTGAAGCATTTTAAGGATTTTCGGGCAACGCTTGTAAAGAACGTAAGGGACACCGTTCGGACCTGGGGCAGACTTGCCGCTGGCCTTTTTCACAACTTCCTCAACCTCAGACCAAAGGGGAGGTACCATTTTAAATGGTACCTTCGGCACCGAAGGCTGTTTAAGGCCGCTAAGGATCTCTGGATTGTCATCGAGAGGCTCACTCCTCTTTTTGTCAGAGTACATCTTGCGTAGATGTAGCTCTAGTTCTTCCTGACTGACAACCAGAGTCCCAGACTTCGGTTGCTCGAATAGACCTCGGGCAAACTGATACGGGTCCCTAAAGAATTTCTCTCGCTCCCTTTTGGTTCTACGTCTGTTGTTACAGAAACGCTCGGCGCGACAGAGGGCACTGTGTTTGTTCTTTAAATGCAACCAAACTTCATACAGCCCCTCATGTTCGCTGCCTTTAGCGGCTTTGAACCGTTTTCTGAGGGCATTCTTGTCTGCCCGACACTTCAGAATGTCCCTCTGCCTCCTGCTAGTATTCTGCTTGGCACCCGGCTGTGCCTTTACTACTGTCCCGAAC